GATGGACGATGACCTAGGAGGACACCTCCTCGGAAGGATGTACAATGGGTCACATGTGGCCTAAGTGCTGTGGGTTTACACTCCCCCTTACTGACGCGAGTGGCTAGTTTCTTCAGAGGTTTATACATCCCGACTCCAGAGATTATTTCAGCGTTTCAGCCAGCCGTCAGAGTTATGGAAATTAGCATGTAATCGGAGATTGATCGAGAATATTAGCAAACTTAGGAATTCAATCGTGTTTTTCGTGGCGTCGAACACAAATGTATAATAAATTTGATCAGTCTTAATAATTTTTCGGGAAAGAAAGTTTTGGCTTTCTACTACTTCATCTTGATACGAAACAATGTGGGAATCTTTCAAAGAAAGGAAAGAAGCAATCAATTTCAAAAGGAATAACTCTGTACACAGATGATTATGAGAAGTAGAACCGGAACCTCTGGAGTAGAATAAATCCAAAACATAAATCCAGAACTGCAATAATCTTATCAAGAGAGAAATTCTGATTTTTGGAAACAGCGCTTGTTTTGGGCATGATGATGATACACTTGTGATGCATTGTTTGAAACCTTTGATCTCCCTCCTGAAGATGATCATTTGGTGATCGAAACACTTGTTGAGGTGTTAAAATAATGGTTTGGTGTTGGGAAAAACTCCAGTAATATTCATGATGATGATGATGATGATGATTAATGATATATTGTAAGGAAATTCTAGTTATTAAAAAAATAAACTATACAAAGTTCACAAAAACTAAAACAATGTATTGTTACATTTTTTTCAAGTTGTTATTTCAAAAATATACATTTTTGTGCTGTTCCTATGATGGTATGACTAGTTATTATTATTGAACTGAAATTTCATTTTTTCAACATATCATATTGAAGGTTTGGCATCCATTTTTAAACAGTTAGCTGTATTACAAGTACGAGTGTTGCCTTTTATGTTTCGGGATTTGGTAACCCTAGTGTTGCAGACCGTTTTGACATACGCGCGTTATTTGTGTTGTTTACAGTAACTTAAAAGATTCATCTCAGCCCAAAAATGGAATTAAATCGTGAACATTTTCGTGCGATTATTTTTTACAACTTTCGACGTGGATTAACTCAGCAACAGTGCATGAATGTACTTACATTCAATATTGCATAAACATTTGACTGTCAAAAAAATTTGTTCGCGTTGGATCCTACACAATTTGTCAATCGCTCAAAAAAAGGCTCGTGTTGATTGGTCGAAGGAAATGCTCAAAAAATACGATCACGGTGCTTCGAAACACGTCTATGACATCGTGACAGGTGATGAATCGTGGATTCACGCGTATGAGTAAACAACAATCGACTGCGTTTCAAGATGAGCCAAATCCAACAAAAGTTGTTCGCGTACGTAGCACTTCCAAGCAAATGGTCGCCTGTTTTTGTGGAAAAACTGGACATGTCGCAATCGTACCACTAGAACAACGCAGAACAGTCAATTCTGAGTGGTACACAACCATTAGTTTGCCAGTTGTCTTCCAAGAAATCAGGAAAACCAACCGCCGAAGACGGATCATTCTTCACCACGACAATGTGAGCTCTCACACATCGGTTCAAACAGCTGCAGTTTTGAGCATTCAAAACATCGATTTGATGAGTTATCCGCCGTATAGTCCTGACTTGGCACCGTATGGCTTCTTTTTATTCCCGCACGTAAAAACCAAACTGCGATGTGAACGTTTTTATCGACACCTGAAGAAACCTCAATTGAAATACAATAAAGTGATTGCTGATGATTAATATTTGTTTTTGTTCTCTAATCCACAAATATAAAAGGCAACCCTCATATAAAGATATTCTTTTAATGGTAACAAACTACTTTATTCGTGGAACGTCTTAGAACCTCAAATTCAAACATTTTGACGCCCATTCAGTAGTAAATGTTTCAGAGATTTATATAATGTCAAATAACCTCTCTAGATTTCATTTTTTGTATTAATCGAAAGTCTCATAACCAACCAGAAGAGCCATTTACTGATATCTGTTACAATACCTGGAGTGTAGTTATTTTTGAGCATTCGATAACATTTTACCTTTCCGCCTGTCACAATAATCAATTCTTTCAGCATTTATTGACATGTCCCATCTCAAACACAGCTTTCTGCAGCTTCAAAACAGTAACGTGGCATGCAATTCATCAAGACAAGCACAAACGAAAGCAATTAAAATAACCTTAGACTTACCGACTCACTAGTCGTCGACATCAGAGGAAAAGACTTCCTGTGAGACTTATTGGAACCTACCCTGTTGTTACGTTTAATCACTCTGCCAAATATGTTCAATAAATTATCAGCATGTAATTCCCGAGATAAAGTGTTCCCACCTTTAGACAACACCGCGCTGTTCTCTAAGTAACAAGCATACCGCTCGGCCATCAAAAAATTGTAGCAAACATACAGATCGCTTTTGAAGTCGTACTGCTCATAAGGCTTATCGAAAGATTCATTACAGACCGGCTCGTACATAGAAATAGACTTCAAATAATTAGGCCTGTTTCTCTTTACTTTACTTGGAGTGGGTTTCTTGTGTAAGAAACTTCTCTGTTTGTATAGTTTCGACACAGATTCCGGGTACTCCTTAACCACCCCATTTATAGTGAACGTTCTTCTACAAACGACGAATGGTTTGTAGAATCTATCAACACTCCCAATGATGGAGATAACAATGTCACGGGTTTGGGAGGGCGTTAGATCGCGGAACAGGATAGGTTTCAATCTTTCGTACTCCGGAAGAACGATGGGATAGTCACAGATAGGTATTTCATGCACCGGACAACCCACTAGTCTACCACCAAGTTTTTCTAACTACAAACAAAAGCAACACAAAAAATCATCTACTTCAGAAAAATTCAAAGTGCAGGAGCCAGAATTACGAGTTACAACTTTTTGCAGGTATTACTAAAGAAATATCTATTAGACACTCATCACACAATCTGTTGATAGAATTATAGATTTTTCTTACTAGACCTTTATCATGAAGAACAACTCTGAAATCAGAGCAATCAAATCTGTGCATTTGAAAAAATTGAGTAGAAGATTTTAAATAAATAACCTTCATTCTCTACAAATTCACCACTTATCATTTTTCATGGAAGTTTTCATCAACTTTTCAGAAATTTTACATCAACATGTCAAAAGGTTCAATACTTTTTTATTTATCATAAAAATATCTGCAAGAACTATGTGATAATAAGAAATATCACAAAACGACTAAATTCTCTAAAAAAAAGCCTCATACTATTTTGTTAACGATTTCACAGAAAGCTGTGTAATGTTATAAGAGTCAGTGATGGAAGATCCAACAAAAGAGAACCAGCTCTTATCTTGTTTGCAAAATTGACAACAAATAACTGATATAGTAGCCTTCCTAAATCAAACTTTCAAGTTGGATATTCCATAGCGGATCCGCTACTGTTAATTTCTATATTAAAGATTTAGCAGATGATATTATGATAGGCTGGACACATATGATATAAACTATGTTGGACACCATCATTTAAATACTGAGGTCATCACCTGAACTGTTTGATTTTGTGAACAACACACAAGGTTCCAAGCTCTTGAATAGTTTGAGAAAAATAAACTATTAAAATAAAGATATTAGATTGTTTCCAAAGTTTTGTACTCTGTGCTGTTAATTTTTTACCAAATTTTCCAGAGATTTCAGCCTCGAAGATGAGCCTTAATGTGGTCGACCTACAGTAATCCAGGATGAAGGTTTGAGGACCCTAGTGGTCATCACAAACGGTATATGGGAAGGCGGAAGAACTAGGAGTCAGCCCCCATATGGTTTTTGATGGTTTAAAATGTATTGAAAAGGTCAAGAAGATTGAGATGTGGGTGCTCCACGATTTAAATGATCTTCAAAAATTGTCATGTTTCAAGGTCTGTTCTTCTTTGCTTTTGCACAACCAAAACGATCCTTTTTGGATTAGATCGGAACAGGAGAAGTTCACAGTGACTGAACACCGATGAAAACATTACAAATGAACTTTTTTTTTTATATTGTCGGTTTGGTTGTTGTGTGACAAAATATTGGATACAAATCATCAAAAGAAGTATTATCAAACTCAAAAACTCTGTAATTAGAACTCATCATGCACTTCTGGGTAAGATATAGGAAGGTACACAGTAAATCAGTTAGTTAAGTATGCTTAGGTTCACTTCAGAGGTTAAGTCAGAGATATTCATGAATGGTGATTGGTAATTTGATGATCAATAATGCAGAAAACTTGCTTTGATATTTTTCGCAATATACTGACTGTTTTGGATTTCTTATTCCTATATGAATCCAGTCTGACTTGATACCTCCTAACTGTAACATGTGTTTTTGAATAAAATAAACTTTTTAAAAACTTATTATTTGAAAATCAACAAATTGAACAACAAATGAACAAATTGAAGGCTTTCTCGAAAATTAATAGCTTGTCCACTAGAAGCAGGTCGATGCTGGTCATCCCTGAACACAGGTCTTCTGTTTTTACTCGCAGCTTCTCATACAACGCAGCAAAATTCTGCAATCTCCTGCCCAGTGAATTCAGATCCAACATAATAAGAAACATTAAAAAGAAACTTTGAATTGCATTTATTTGAGTAGCTCACTTTTCTGATGCTGACAGTGTTGTTTGGACAAAACAGAATGATAATAATTTGAAACTGTATGTATATATTGTTTTTTTTTATTCTGAGGGTTGAGGTTGAAAATAGCTTTGTTGACACTACGCCCAATCACCTCAATATTTTTTTATATTGTTTCTTTATGTTGTTATATAAGGTGGATAAAGACATATTATTATTATTTTATTGAAAATAAATGAATAAATGACTCATCAAATATAATGATTGAACCAGTCAATTCTAATCATTACAATCAAAAAGCACTCAAAAATATCTCTGACTTTTCTCCAGTGCTATAAATCAAACACTACGAAAACAACAAGCCAATACAAAATTAAACTTCTAAAAAACTCACCGTAGTCAGCCTCTCTAAGGCGCTGAATCGTTCTTCTTGCGCTGCCGCAGACTTCTCAAAGGCCTCGTGTTTCTTGATCAAGTTCTCGACGTCGTCGATGGTATGTCCCAGTTCCTGGCTCATGAGATACGGTTCCTGCGCAATCAGCCAAGCCTCTGCTACGGCAGCATCTCGTGCAAACTGGTACACTTCTAAGATGAGTTGTAAATTCTCCCACCTGTAAAAGTCAAAATAAACTAGTATAGTAGTAGTTCACAATTTATTGAGAACGGTAGATATCGAAAATTCTTATCTGAATTGATCAATCACTCCAATAATGCAAAAAGGGAATTTAAGTTTCAGCACAGTAATTCAAGCATGAGACTTATTATTACCTCTTTTAAAGGGGATACAAAACTGAAATCAGACTCCAAGGCCACCCTTCATGAAAGGTATGGATAAAATAGTTTTATTCCGTTGGATAACGTAATAAAGGAATTTCTGAAATTCGAAAGCTTGACAGTTCCGCTACTTCCTGGAAGTTGGGGGAGTTTCAACTTCCCAGGTTGCAGCCAAAAAGGGAGGAAAGCTAACAAATCGGATGAGTACCACCATTATTTCTTTGATTGTTGCCTTTTTCTTCTGACACCCAATTTCGTCACCAGCCAAGTTATTTGTAGTTATTTTCAAGCTAACTTAGAATAGAATAGAATAGAAATTTATTCATCATTAAAAGATTTTATACATGTGGTACATACAGCATAAAACTTTATCAGACTAGTCAGAACCGAACATAAAGCAATTGTGCTTATCTATAGTTAGATTCCATGACTTTTTAATTAATCATGCGTTTTATTCTGTAGATGACTTTTTAAATTTTCCTTTTAGTAAGTCTGATATGTAAATCTGTTAACCATTCATTTATGTTATGTATTTGTTCATGTTACATGTAATTGACTCGTCTGATGAGTTTTAATACTGTACTGCACTGTGTAAAGCTTCATGGATGAAGCTCTACACAAAATAAAAATTATCTATCTATTTCCATTCATTTTCATTTACTTTCATATAAAAAATTCATATGAAACTCACCTCTCTTCCCACCGCTTCAACACGCTGTTCCTGTGATTCGTCAAAGTCACCAACTTGTCCTTGATCTCCGAACTGGCGTAGTGGTTCCTGTTCAGCAGTTCCTTGCCGAGCGAGATGCAAGCCGTAAAGTTGTCCTCCCTCGCCTCGATTTCTGCCTTGAGTGTCTGGTGATTGTTCATCAGCAGCTCCACCCCACTCACGTCTCTCGGTTTCTCACTCGTGTTCATCTGCCTTATCCATTCATCCATCCACTGCATCAGGGTCCTGACGAGAATGAAGAACTTGAAGAGGTCGCCGGTGTCGGCTAGCTTGCTCTGCCGCTGGTCGCAGGCCAGCTGCAGAGACGCCCATGCAGCCACTACCTCTTGCTCGCGGTTTGTAATCTCTTTCGCCCTGTCGCCGGCGTAACTGGCCTGTAGTTTGGCCGACTCCTCGCGGATCTGCTGCACCTGCGAATGCAGCGTCTGCAGATCCTGCAGGAAGTTCAGGTGCTTACGCTGTAGTGCGTTTACTGAGCCAGCGTCTCTGCCTAGCTCGTCTGACATCGCGACCTGCTTCTCGACGATACGGCTGAGGACGTCTTTGCAGTCGTGGAAGAACTTGTGCAGCTCCCTGGAAGCGGCGAGCATCTGCGTGCGCGTCTCGATCAGCTCGAGGAGATCCTGCCAGGCTTCGTTGAGGCCGTCCTTCCATTCCGCTATGACGGCCGAGTCCGAGTGTCCTGCAGCTATTAATTGATCAGCTACGTCGTTTACTCCAGCTACTCGCTCGCTGCCGACGGTCTCCGTCTCGTGAGCGAACTCTTTGAAACGCTCCCACAGGAGTGTCACGTGGTCATAGTCTTGGCCTAGCTCGTGAGAGGACGCCACCACTTCCCGATCGGCGATCCATTGCTCCAAATCTCCGACGTCGCGACTGAGCAGGAACAGTTGCAGAGCCTCGTCCAGCTTGGCTCTCCTCTCGCCCGCCAAGTCCTTGAGGCCGGCATACAACTTATCTAGCTGTGACTGTTTCACGGCCACCTGTTCTGCTAAGGGGTGACCTTCGGCTGCCAAGGCGCGTACTGTTTCTCCCAGAGACCTTATCGTATCGGCGTAGGCTTCAACAGCAGCTTCAAGGCTTTCGTGTTTCTTCATGCAGTTTCTAGCCGACGTTTCGTCTTTGCCGCGGTCCTCAACCATCATGTAGAGTTCTTGTTCGCTCATCCAGCTCTCAGCCTCGTTAGCGTCGAAGAGGTATTGCTGAGCGCGTTCGTTTCTGAGTAGATTTTCGCGTCGTCTGTCGATTGCGTCTTTCAGTTCTTGCCACGCCTTATGGAGCTCATTTATCAGCCGGCTGAACTCGGTCGCGTCTTCGTGACCTGAGAAGGAGATGGTTGGTTTATTGGTTTTTATATAAATAAGAGAAATAATCAGCTCAAAGTTTTATGGCTGATGGAGATTACACAATTGATCAGAGTAAGACAAATCATAAAAGAAGATAATAAATTCAAATTGAGCTGAAACTTGCAGCGAAATCTTTATCAATATTGTAGAAGGCTTAACTTAGCAATGACTGTTTTACAGATCTTCTAAAATCAACTTATGTGGGGGTTTTTAATTTTTTTTGTCAATTTATTGAACATCTTAATTCCTATCAACTCAGGTCTGCATTCTGCTTTCATTACTTTGTGAGAGAGTATTTCAAGTAAATGAATGTGGATGTAGTTGAAAGCTAAGGTTAGAATACTCAGAGAAGCTTTCAAATGATCCTTTGGTAAACATTGTCTCCTGTCACAAGGATTCTATAACATGCTTGTGAGCAACTCCAGGCTAGTTAATATATGAGATAATAGACTGCATTTGTTAGAAAAAGGGCCTTTCAGCTGTACTACGTAACTGACATAAATAAGGTATAGAAATTTGTTTATATAATATTCACCCATTTGTGTTTTCCATATACCATTTTCAAATACGTAAGTTTATTTATAGAAATTTGGATCTGTTTTAGAGACATGATACTGGTTTTTATTAAAATTATGTGATTAGTTTAATGAGTTTTTTATCGACCTTTTTTGGGTATGTTACCTTCCACAATCTTTTACGTTTCGGAGGCTAAAATCTGCCTCTGTCTTCAGAAATGGATAAAAAATTCGAATATATTCGCAGTTATTCCTTTTTTGATAGTTTATTCCTTTACTTCTTCGACAGATGTCAAAGAAGTAAAGATGTCAAAAGGTTGATAAAAAACTGATTTTTCCTCCACAAAAAATTACTTTCGTTGAATAGTTTGATGATATACTTGTATTTTTTAAATCTTGATAGGTTTATTCTAATATTGACAGTGTATCAATAACAGTGAAATAATCATTGAAATAGATGACACAATTTGTCAACAAAATCAATAGCATATTTTATATACTGAAGCGATTTCAATATGGATTCCTGTGTAACACCAATTAAACAATATGCAATATTTGATTTTTAATTTATAAAACAATTTTGATTGTGCAGCTGTTGTTGAGTTTGATTATTACTGCACTAAAAGATAACTGCATGAAATAAAAAATCAAGTATGCACAAAAGTATAGTTTTACAGAGAAAATGAAGAATGCCGCTTTTCAGAGATAAGAAAAAAGTAACAATGAATCCCCGATTAACTTATAATAGATCACTTACCTTCATCAATGAGTTTCTGGCCGTTGTGACAGACGGTGTTAATCCTAGGTTCATGATTATCCACTTCCGTCTGCAAAGACTGTGTCTTCTTCTCAAGCATATGCACCTGGAAGAGACTGTTTCCGTATTCGGTGGCCAAAGCTTGAGGCATCTTCTCTGCGATCCACAATAGCTCCTCTTCAACGTCCCTTCTGAACTGTAAAGCTTCCTTCTTCTTCTCCAATATCCTCTGCCTTTCCAGAAGGGGTTGTTTCAGTTGCTGGAATCGTTCTTCCACCCTGGTCTTCTTCACCTTGATTTCCTGCATATCCTTCTCCGGAGTCGCAGTTTGCAGATGCTGAGTCTGCTTTTCCAGTTCGCCCACTTGGCGAGCTTTGACAGCCATCTGGGTTTCGATCATCTGAAAAGATCAACGTTTAACTTTTCTACTTCACCAGAAACCAAAATACAAACCTGTTGTTTCTGCATGAGAATGTTAACGGATGCCAAGTCCGAGCCGGTATCGTCACTTTCTATTTGTTTCTCGAGGTCGTTCATCCAAGAGTCGATGTCGTCGCAAGTCTGATGGATAAGTACTTCGCGGTTAGCGTCAAATAGGCGTTCACCTTTTTCCTTGGTCGTCTGTTCCAAAACGTCAAATTGGTCCATCATTTCCTCGATCTTGGGTTGAATGTGACTAGCGTATTCGGGCTTCTCCTTGGCCAGTTCTTCGGCCGCTTTCTGCAAATTGTGAAGACGTTCCTTGTTTGCGGCGATCTCTGCCTCGAAAGCTTGATGCCTTGTCCATTTCGAGTGCACCGTTTTGGCAGATCTGTACGTCTCGTCCTGAGCGGTAATGTGCTTTTCTTGTATCCATTCGCCCAGCTCGTCGCAGTCTCTCAGGAACTGATGCAGCTCCAGCTGATCGCGGAGTTGTTCCAAAAGAGCTTGAGCTTTGTCTCTATTAGCCAGGCGACGCTCGTCGATGCTATCTGCCCGTTTGGCGACCTTGTCTGAAGCAAAGTGCCCTTCGTCTGAGAGCCTACGCGAGAACTCGACCACGCTGTTGATTTTGTCGTCGTTCGCCTCCATTGTGGCGAGGAACGCTTCGTGGCGCTTGAGAAGATTCTCAGCTTGTTCGAGAGTGGCTGGAGTTTCGTCTTTGGCAAGCGTGTGTTCTTGTTGGTTGAGGATGACCTCGGCTTGTCTGGCGTCCCTGTCGAGAAGCTGCAAACTAAGCGATTGGCTCAACAACTGTTGCCTGTTCTCCCACATCTGGTGTATTTCCGCCCAGCCGTCCTTGAGTGCCTTCAGACGTTCGCGCAAGAACATGTATTGAGGATCGTCTTGAGTGCTCGGCTCGGCCGTAATCTTTTCTCCATACTCCATCATCTTGGTGTAATCATCAGTGTAGTTATCGATCTCCTCCCGAATAGCCTGGTGCTGCGACAAAAGTTTCTCAGCTTCAGACAACGAACTCGGGGTATCTTCAGAGGCGATATCGGTTTGAGTCTTTGTGAGCCAAGTCTGGAAGTGATCCAAGTCCCGAAGGAACCTGTGGAGGTCACCAGCTTCTTCCAGTTTCGAGTCGCGTTCTTTCAACATCTGCGTTAACCGCTCCCAGATGATCTGGATCTGCTTGATTCGTTCTCTTATAACGGCGGCTTCTTCCGGATGTTCCGCTTCGATCGCGTCTGCCTCCTTCTGGAGTGAGGTGAGTTTCGCCTGAATCGCGGCCAAGTCGCGTTCCATGCCCGATAGACGGCGCTGAAGGGTCATAATACCAGTAAGATCCATCTCCAAGCTATCAGTCGTTTGAAGAATGCGGATTTTGTCTTCGATCCATGTAGTGGTCTCGCGACACTCAATGTGGAACGTTTGAACGCCGTGAGCAGAGTTGAGCTCCTCCTTTTTAGCTTCTGCCTTTTCCCGAAGCTCCGCCCACTTTTGGTTAAGGTGATTCTGCTTGGCAGTGATCTGTTCCGAGTTAGGATGTTCTACGTGCAACAACTGTCGCGCTAATTGATTCACTACGGCTACGCGGGAAGCGTTAGAATTCATTTCCTTCTCGAATCCGTCGTAACGGTGCTTCATGATCTCTACGTCTTCGATGTCCCTCGCGGGTATCATCGTCTGCAGCATTCGGTCTTTCTCATTGATCCATTGCTCGACACCGTCACTTTCAGACAGGAGTTTGTACAGCGATAAAGCATCAAGTAGGCGCTGTTTCCTGAGTTTAGCCAATTCCAGGAGTTCCTTGTAGCGGTTATCTATAGAAGCCAGTCTCTGCGATACTTCGGGCGAATTGGCGACTTCGGGTCCGAGATCTTCTGCCTGCTGGTGGAGAACATTGATGACGCTGACATAGTTCTTAAGTTCCTCAGTAACGTCTTTGTGTTTCTTCAGAAGGGATTGGGCATTTCCTTCATCCCGTCCCACATCCTCACTGGAAACGAGTCTCAGTGTGTCCAACATCCAAATATCGATATCGTCAGCATCAGCGAAAAGTTGGTGATACTTGACTGCCTCTTCGAGGCGCTTTCTGCGGTAGGCTGCCAAGTCGAGAAGATGCTTCCAGGCGTCTCGTATCTCGTTCAATCTCTCCTGTATCTTTTCCGCTCCGAAGTGGCCGCCACTGATTAACTCTTCCCCTACGCCGAGAGCTGCCTCCAGTTGGGGTTCGTGAGAAGATAATTCGTTCTCTAAAATCTTGTGCTTGCTCAAAAGCAAATTAACGGTGGACAGATCATGCCCGATATCGGAAGTAGAAACGATCTGCTCCTTCTCCTTGATCCAGTTGTCTTCGTCGGCCATGTCCCAGTAGAACTGCCACAACTTCTTGCTCTCTTCCAGCCTCGACCGCCTCTCCACGGCCAGCCTCACCAACTGAGCATAAGCTTCTTCCAGTTGTTGGACCCTCTCCAGAACTAGAGCGGGGTCGCACGGTCTGTAACTCTCTTCATTGTCCACGTCGACGAACCTCTGCGATTGACTGGCGACTCCCTTGACTCTGTCGCCCAAGATATTGATGTCAGCTTCGAGGAGGTTGTGTTTCTGCAGGAGATCTTCGACTCCCATGAGGTGTTTCCCGTAGTCGTCGGTAAGGAGACGAACTTTCAATTCCTCCATGGCATCGAGTATGTGCAGCATTTCTTGGAAGGTTTGTTGTAATTGTAATGATAAATCTAGTCGGTTTCTACGCGCTCTAAGCAATTCCAGTAAGTAATTCCAAAGTCTTAGTACATTGTCTTTTCTGGCGTTGATTCTCTCCATGTCATGGTATTTTTCGGTTTCCAATTCCTGAGCAACTGATACAACGGCTTGGACTCTTTCCTCGTATGCGAATATGTCAGTTTCGATGGCTTCGTGTTTCTTAGCGGCAGCTTCGACTGCGGCCAAGTCCTGTCCGAAATTGTCTTGGGACACGAGCCTCTGGTTTTCGCTCAACCAAGTCTCTCGCATGCTAGCCTTTCTGTTGAACCTAGCGGCTAGTTGTTCGAGTTTCTCTTGGCGAATCAGCTCCTCTCTGAGTGCTAGTTCTCTCTCGTGTTCGGCCTTCTCCAAGCGCTCCCATGCTTTGTTGATATCCGATATCATCTTACCCTCTTTCGGCGTGTACGGACGTTGGTTGTTCGCCCTCATTTTTGACTGCAACGTGAAGAGCAGGATCTCCAGGTTGCCCTTCTCTACAAACTTGGGCGGCTTCTCTACGATGCGGTAGTTGTTGAACTGACCCAACTGTCCTTGCACGCCCACTAGACTGTTGGCGAACTCCCTGTCGCCAAGAGCTTGAATGGTACTTTCGATCCAAGCCAGCAAGTCGCTAGTCAGCGACTCGTACTCCTTGATCATCCTATCATTCTCCATGGCGATGCCGACCACTTTACCGATTCTTTTTCCTTGAACGGTCTCCTGCTTCATCTTGCTGAAGTAATGGTAATAAGTAACTACGTATGTGATGATGGATTTTTCATCTGGTTGGTCTACGAACACATCTTCGGCGTCCAGAAGCTTCGTCAACCCCAACTTATCCTCGGCTACGTTGAACGCGTTGTTCAGGTTGTGGATGGCGTTAGATTTTGATAGTTTATCGAAATGCACCAAGTCAGGACGGTGCTTGTGGATGATGGCGTTAAAGGCGAGACCGTCGCGCCACGATGTGGTGAAGTTCCTCACGTTGACGTTGTGGTAGCCGGCAGTTTTCATTTGGCACCACAACAGAAGAGCGTCTTTGGCCGATTTCGTTTCTTGGTTGTCCGTTTCTTCGATGGTAATGTCTTGGATTTGGAAGCGGAGGATTATCGTCCAGATGAGACCGAGGGACAGACGGGGATTTCCGTCTACTATATCGTGGGAGCCCATGTTTTCTAGGTGAACGCGCTGTTCGCGAAGGAACTGAAGTGCTTTGTCGACGTTTTCCAGGCAGTGAATTCGCATTTTTCCTTTGGTGGGTCTGGGCAAACGCTCGCCGGATAATACTTCTAGGAGTTTTATTAGGTTTTTGCCGTCGCGCAGGTCGCAATACAAATCGCCTATCCGGGAATTCACCCGGACCAGGTGAGAATTCACCCATTTTTGGAAGGTCTTCTTTTGTACGCTTTCTCTTTCATCTGAAACGTAAAACAATATAAATCAGAAATTCAGCGTAATAACAGATGTATTCCTTTAATCACATTGAAAGAGTTGGCGTCATACAATATTATTTAGAAATAGTCACCACTATTATAGTGATATTTAACTACATCGTTAGGAGAAATATTTTCCCTTTTTGAAGTAAATTTATGCAGAATTAGTTCTGAAAACAATATTGAAAACAATATGTCAAGAGACCAAATTTTATGAGATAAAGTATTATACAGTTAGAATTAGTTTCTTTGAATGGTCAAAGGATTGACAAAATTATTTTACCGTTAATTAATTTATGCCAATGCCAATGTACATAAACAAATGTGCATACTTGAAGACTAGCTATAAATCAAATTATCTACAAGAACAATTCGTTCAAGCAAGTCTCAACTTACATATACACGACCATATACAGTTACAATACATGCACAGTATTTTTTTTATAACACTAGCATAGTGAGACCATCATAATAAAGCTTTTTTTCATATATATATATATATA